GGGTGGCCTCAACAACGTCCGCAGTAAACACAAAGGGCGCCCCGCCCCAAAGGGCGCGCCTCACATTTTGAGAGAAAAAAAAGACTTTTGTATGCGCCTAAAGGGTGTGAAAATACGGTATATAAAAAAACATATGGTATTAAAGCTATGAAAATTTACAAAACAAATATCCAATTTACAGAATAAACAAATCAAAACAAGACTATGACAAAACAAAACAAGGACTAAGGACAGCTAGAAATTATCTGACAGACAAAACACTCTGGCACAAAACAAGCGGTGACGTCGACTACTATTCAATTAAATTCAATTTTATTCATAAAACGCCAATTCACAACAACAGTTATCTCACAGTGCTTTCCAAACAGAGCAGGTCAGACCCTACCCTGAAGTTATTTACAGAAGCCCAACAATTCCCAACCAGAGCAAGCACTAGGTGACACGGACAAGGCAAAACTTCCTTTTAAGAGGCAGAAACCTCGAGCAGAACCATGACTCAGGGTGTGCGGCCATCTGCCTCGGCCGGTGGTGGGTGAGAGACAGCGAGGGCAAGAGAGAGAGAGGGAGACAAGGAAAGAGGTAGTAGGGGGAGGCAGCCTATACAGTAATACATATACTGGATGAAAAATGGTACAGATATTGGTGGTAAAGTTAATCAAAATCAGAATCAGAATGACTTTATTAATCCCTTGCGGGAAATTCTTTTATTAGAAATTTTAATGATAATGATAGCAGTAATAATAGCAATAGGACTAGGAACATTAGTAGTAATTGTAGCAGAGTAGGAACACGGGGGCAGCAGGAGACTCCCAACCACAGATCCAGACTCCACAGCTCCAGAGCCAGGAACACCTGCAGGAAGTGATAGGAGGAGAGAGGAGAGGGACGAGAAAGCACACGACTACGATAAAGGGAAAAAGTCCAGTTCATGCATTAAAGGTATGAGGTTGCTCTGACAGGGAGAGACAGAAAGGAGCAGGGAGCTGGTGCAACATCGGAAATTCCCTGGCAGTCTAAGCCTATGGCACCATAACTAAGGGTGGACTCACCTAACCAGCCCTAACTATAAGCTCTATCGTAAAGGAAAGTCTTAAACCTATTCTTAAATATATCAATACATAACCCAAAACAAAAAGCCTCTTTTAAAGAAGATGCCACAGTACTGAACAACTAACGGTCCATACAAACCTGCCATTAGGAAAAGTCCTGGAAAAAGTTGCGTACCAACAGCTTACTGACTTTCTCCTGTGTAACAGTGGTTTGATATTTTCCAGTCAGTTAGGCCCTATCACACTACTGAGACAGCTCTGATCAAGCTGACAATAGATATCTGCCTCAACTCAGCTGTTTTGATTGAATCAGGAAAATAACTATTTGGTTCTATAATCAGTTTGATGCTACATATTGTGTTTTAGCCATTTTAGACATTATTGGCCCTTATTGACATTCTTTAGCATAGATATTTAAGACTTTAGATTTCTTTAAAGGTTTTGATTGTAGATCATTTTTAAAAACTTTGTCTAATAATACAAATATTATAAGCCATTTTGCAATTAATTTTGATATTATATCAGTGTTTTCCTAATGCAAAAACCATGTATTTTATTCAGCCGTCATTTAAAAATCTGTTCATTAATTGCTGGAATTCATTGTTGCCACACACATACCTCTCTAGACAGTCTCTGTTGCTTAGTTCTTTCGGACTTTATGTTTTGAAAAAGCTAGGTGGTAGAAGCTGGAATTCCCATAATGCTTTTTTATTGAGGGAAATTACAATGGGAACTATCCATCCATCCATTATCAATACCGCTCATTCCCTGATGGGGTCGCGGGGGGAACTGGAGCCTATCCCAGTAGTCAACGGGCGAGAGGCAGGGTACACCCTGGACAGTCCGCCAGTCCATCGCAGGGCCACACACAGGACAAACAACCACTCACACTCATTCACTCGTAAGGGCAATTTCCCCAATCTCCAATCAACCTAACATGCAGGTCTTTTCTTTTTGGACTGTGGGAGGAAGCTGCAGAACCCAGAGAGAACCCACGCAGACACAGGGAGAACATGCAAACTCCACCCAGAAAGGTCCTGGTTCGAACCCAGAACCCTCTTGGTGGGAGGCGACAGTGCTAACCACCACACCACCGTGCCACCATGAACACGTTGTCTTTAGTGGGTGTAGTTGGTATATGATTTTAGGAGTGTTTTAGGAATAATTAGAAAATATTCAACTAGTTTTGTATATCTGTATTGTATTGTTTTGAGAATAACTCAACCATAACAAAATAAATGTGTGTTAGGGGAGGACTAATAAGTAAAAATGTTTGTGAGATCAGGGCGTAAAAAATTTGGAATTCATGACTCTTTGTTATCTATATCTTGCAATGTCTACAAATTGTCCAAACTGTGGAATTTTCTATATAGTAGTTAGTGGTAACATACAAATTTTCCAACATACAAAGTTAAATTTGATCAAATATTCGACTCAACACTGAAAGTAATTTTCATAGAAAAATATATATAAAATATAATATATGTAATAAAAATAAATAAGCTAAGTTAGTTTAATGTTCACATAGTGAAAGTTAGAGTAAGTTACGGTACATACTGTATCTCAGTCACCACCTCTACCTCCACACACCGTCTGTCTCCTGCACCTCTTTATTTATTTTATTTATTTGTTTATTTGATAGGGACAAGTATGTTTCATGAAACCTGTCACACACTATAACATTTTAGCTAAGGCTAATTCTCAATGCCTGTCCCCAGTTAGCCTTTTACATGAAACACAGTGACTGCACAACAGAACAAATTACACACTAAAACATCACAGATAAAAGATCAAGACAGTCAGATTATTAATGTCCACATGTCTGACCTCTCAATAAAAGTCTTTAAGTTTGTGTTTAAAAAGGACCCAGTTTTACTCTGCCTAAGCCTACACCTCCGTTCGCCAGTCCCCGAAGTAAAGTGCCAGTTAAAAATTTTTTTTTATTGATTATTTCTTTATCATTTCTTTATATTTACATCTTTCTTATGTAATGCATTTGTTTTATTGCTTTGTGTATTCATCTGCAGTAGTTCTTAAGGAGTTATCATAGCTTTTTGGGCTGTGGAACTAATTATACGAACTACAGTGTGTTCTATGGGAATATTTGAACCAACAACCAATATTGACAAATGAAGTAGGTCCTGAAACTAATTAAATTCGGATGTAGAGGCTCTACTACTCTTGATTTTAGCAACGGTAATGATGTGCAGTAATGATTAAAGTTACACCATACGATCAATGAACAGTCATAGTTGTAATAAATAACATCTTACTTTTTTCATAACGGACTTTTATAAAAACAACTAAACCCCGATCGCTTCCATTTCCAAGGTGTATGGCCCCGGTAGAATTCAATGCCTCGGTGTTAATTGGCACCTGAAGAGAGTACATTATTTCATTTCCCCAGACTATAACGTTTAAAGGTACCATTTTACCTGGTCCGATGATCATTCCGTTGGGATCGAATGCCTGGCAAAACTGTAGGCTAAAATAATCTATGCTTTGCATCTACTACGCAGAAGCGGATCAATTTTAGGGATAGCTGTGATCATGCACTATAAAATTATGCTTCAGTATCCGTTTCTTGTTTGGGAACAAATGTTTGAATTGCCTGTGGTGTTCAGCGATCAAGTGTTTCAAGAAAATAGTGATACCCTTTAATTGCTGTAGAGAAAATACAAAAGTTCACTATTTGAAGCAATAGTAGTAGCAGATCGTTCTGACAAGCTACGTCTAAAAAGTGGTAGATTACGAAGTAAACACCAGGATTGGATGAGATTTAACCTCAAATCAAGTCCTCGCCTAACTTCAATGCCGGAGGTTTGTTGTTTTGCTCCATGTAACCAAAATGAAAGCTCTTAAGTCTTTCATAAACTTCCTTTGATGTAGGGTATTTTTCTAGCTAGCTAGCTTACTAGCTATCCAGGAGCTGGTGTTTACAGTTATTAATATTTATTTATTTATTTATTTATTTATTTATTTATTTATTTATTTATCTATTCAATCAGGACAGTGCACATTAATGAACAATCTTATACTTCTGTACAGATTGTAAATGAGCCAGATTATAGCATAGTTGCTAATTTACATCTGTCGTCCTGAGACAGGAAGACAAAACAACACAATATCACATAATACAATATCAGTCAAAACACATAGACACATGTTCAGACACTGACCTTACAACAATAAATACTGATCAATGTTTTCTACAAATGTATATTCATACTCACAAGTTCAATATCAATTGACATTTTTGAAGATCTTGGGTTTAAAATCCCAAATGCCGTATTGGTAGATGGAGCAATTATTCCGAAGTTTTATGATTTCTTGGGCAGTATGGTGATATCCATCACGGGGTAATTATTGACAGTGATGCATCTGAATTTTAACAGATGCTTGTTGTTGAATATGTGTCTGGATCCTCAGTGGCCCATCACCACTCTTTCTACATACACATATTTTAGGTGATGGTAAATTTCATATTCAGAATCTGTCTGAAATGTACACTTCAGAGTTGGGTGGTTCAAAAACAGAAGCCTATTTATCAGACTTCAAGAAAATAGTAAAAATGTCTAGGACAGATTATGGAGCTGTTCTTGGACAGATGATATTCCAAATAAATCAGTTTATTGCAGCGCAATACCCAGCAGATTTTGTGTCCCAAAGAGTGAGCTGCAATCTGAACATTAACTTGTGGTTCCACTTGCATCTAGAGAAACCCCCGGTCATTTTAATTATTCTTCCAAGACATATATAACTGTGCACATTTCAACATTACCAAGAGACGATCCATTGCACCTCGTGACTTCAACCCTCCTGAGATGCAGTGTTGTGCTCTGGAGCCCGCGGTCCGGTTGCATGCCAACCCCCAACTAATATCATTCTCTGGTAAGGTTCTGAGGGGAACCCATGAAATGGATTATACCAACTGGAATTCTGGTGTGAAAAAAGTGTTACATGATCCATCCGGCTCTGACGTCCGATGTACAAGGCTAATTCATGACAGCCTGCTTTTGAAATGCTGGCCAATCTCACTCATGATACAATACCTGATGTTTAACTGTGACATTTGGATTCAGCCTATGGAACTGCTCTGGAAGGTGATGAACTGCTTGCTTGATTAATGGACATGTATCATATTCATGGTCAAAGGTCTTCAGAGTACTAGCAGCGTCTCTAGGTGGCCCTGTAACATCCTGTGAGGAGAGGTGTGCCTTAGACATGTACTGACCATTTATTATTAGCTCAGTTCTGCAGTGGGTGTTGGTACAGCAGACTGATCTCAGAAATCAAACTTAAACAGAGGAAAGCAAATACGCTGCCTTTTGATGAATTTCTATTACTCTTAAGAACAGATGAGGACAGCCGCAGAAAAGCAGCAAAAATCAAAGGATGAAGCAACATCTACGAGCAGTCAAACACAAAGTATCGACTCATGCTTGGCTTGTTAATCAATCTACAAAGCAGCTCCCAAAGCAGATGACTGCCATCCAACGTCAGCTGGCAGCTTTAACACAGTCAGACCAGCGGAAATCCGCCTGCTGTTATACACTCTGATAATGAGCAGTTTGAACCCAGGATGACTGGGAGGGGAACCAAACCTGCCACCATCAGCCTTAAACCATGATTTTGTTTCCGCTGTGGGGAAGATGGCACATTTAATCTCAATATGATTCTGCTCCAAACCCAGCACTGGTTAATGTGAAGTGGAAGCAATTAAAGACAAGCTGCAGAAGTGGCAGAGGCAGAACCTCACTCTCAGGGAGCATTTAAACTAGATTAATTTCCTGGTTGGGCCCTGGAACAGAGCAGGACCAACTGTGTCCCGCCAAAAGTTTCTGTCAATGGATCTGAGCTACTTTTAAGAAAGTGCCTAAGGGGCTTATCGGATCCAGATGTACTGCTGATATCCAAGTTGCAGGTCACCAGGGTTCATGTCATGTCATGACCTGGACTTTGGCTGTGCTAGTTATTTGAAACATAATTCAGGAATCGACCCTGACATATTCACCCTCATGATATAGAAGATGTTTGCAACCATCTTTGTGATCTACTTGATGCTGGTGTTATCAGAGAATTAGATTCCCTCTTCTCTTCACCAATAGATGCCATGAAGAAAAAAATGGAGATATTAGATTGTGCATAGAGTACAGCAAGCTCAATTTGCAGACCATCAAGGATGCATAAGTATTGCCAAACTTAGAAGAATCATTCTCTGCACTCACTGGATCTAAGTGGTTTTCTGTTTTAGACCTCAAGTCTGGTTACAATGAATTTGAAATGAATGAAGCAGACAAACCAAAAAAAGCCTCAGATATTGCGATTTCAAAAGGATGCCACAGGGAGTAACCAATGCACCCTCAACCTTCCAGAGGTTATTGGAGAAGTGTATGGGTGATCTCCATTTGAATGAGATCTTGGTGTTTTTGGATGACCTGATAATTTTTGCCAACAGACTTGAGGAGCACAACAGCCAGTTGTTAGGAGTACTGAGTCATCTGCAAGAGTATGGACAGAAGTTATCCAAGGAAAAGTGTAAATTCTTTCAGACATCTGTGAAATAGTTGGGACACATTGGCAGACATATCAGAAAACTAATCCCAGAAAGAGTTGTTGACATTAATACAGAGAAGGTATCAGCACTAAAATCCTGGCCAGTCCCCATTAATCTCAAGACCTTACAATCCTTCCTGTGAAGAGTATTACCGCCGGATAATTAGATTTAATTTATCAAGGGATATTCAGCCATAGCCAAACCTCTTAACGATCTGACACAAGGGTATTCATCCGCACGCAAGAACTCCAGCATTCATGACCCCAAAATCCATCAACTTAACCCAAAGAGAGCACTTTGGTTCACCATGGTGTCTGGAATGTCCACATGCTTTTGATACTCTGATTGAAAAGCTTACCAGCACTATAGTTCCGGTATTTGCTGACCCAAAGCTTCTTTATATCCTCCACACTGATGCCAGGACCACTGAACAGGGTGCTGTGCTGTACCAAAAGCAGGGAGGGAACCTTCTTTAGAGGTGCCCTGCCAACCAAAACCATTTTTTGTTATATTTTTAAAAATATGTTAGGTCCATATGTGTTTGTGTTATGTAGTGAATGTAAGAATGAACCGCTACCTTATCTGTCTGCTACAGCCACTGAAAAGAAATAAGGACAGAAATCACGCCGATCAGAAAAAGGTATCAGACTGATGTAGTATTGACTGAGCTCATTACTATTCATTAGTTCGCCCAGTTGAGAACGTGCTTACAGAATTCAACTAGCTCAGACAGTGACAGTTTTCATATAGCCTACAGCAAAGATGGCTGAACGTCAACGTTCTTGTGTGATATGCTCAAACAGAACTTCTACAATGCACATCTTTCCCAAGAAGCCAGACAGAGTACAGAAAATGCTGCTATACAGGTTTAATGTCTGTTTGGACAGTGGTAAGACTCACTCGCTTAGCAAAGTTCTAGGTTTTATCCATTTGGACAATGCTAGCGCTTGCTAGCCTAGCTAAGTTCATGCCATGAAGCTAAAATTAGTCAATAGCAGCTTTCAGCAAGCTGTCTGGTTTTGGACAAAACCAATGCAAAAGACAAAACAAAGCGTATTTTTGCTAATTATATTATGAAATGAATGAGTGCAGACCAATGGGTAACTCCCAGGGGAGCTTAAAACACTGACAATGGGCTCCATGATTCCCTCTGATAAGCTGTTGCAAATTATGATTACTGCAAAATGGTATTTTCTCTTTTTTATCAAACACATTTAAGTTTATTAAAGTTATGTGTATTATCTGTTTAGGCAAGGCTCTTAAATGGTAGCTCTTAGCCAATCAGAGTTAAGCATGCAAAATATTCATGAGAACTGGCGCAAATCGAGCTGAGTCTTCCAGCAGGCTTTATATACCATCCTAGAATGGCTTGAAACATAGTAACAAATGCAAAAAATGTTATAGAGTCCATTGTAGAACTTCATACATAATGACTAAAGTAACGTGTGATGTACACAAGCAGGGCTGTTTTAAAGTCTATTCTCTGAGTGACAGGAAGCCAGGGCAGAGACCTGAGTACTGGACTGATATGGTTGTATTTTCTGGTTCTGGTCAGAACTCTAGCAGCAGCATTCTGGATGTTCCGCAGCTGTCTTACAGTTTGTTTAGAGCTCCCAGTGAGCAGGCCATTACAGTAGCCTCACCAGCTGGAGACAAATGCATGGATTAGTCCTTTCTAGGTCTGGTTTAGACACTATTCCTCTGATTCGTGCAATGTCTTTTAGGCTGCTTTAGGCTGATTTAATGTTGCTGTTAAAGTCAGGTCGGAGTCCTATATTACCCCAAGACTTTTTACCTGATTTTTGGGTTCCAGAGAGAGAGTGTGAAGGTGACTGATTAACACTTTTGCTTTGTTTCTTTGGGCCACAGACAATGATTTCACTTTTTCAGGGGGGTTTAACTGGACAAAGTTGTGCTGCATCCACAAACGTATCTGATCAATGCAGCATCACATTAAAGCTACATGTCCATGTTTTCCTATGGTCAGCAATACAAAGATCTACATAGTTGTAGTAGGACACATTATGGCTGCAAATCAGTTGGCCTAATGGAAGCATGTACAGATTGAATAAAATGGGTCTCAGAATTGACCCCTGGAGAACCCCACAGGTCAGATCACTTCGGTCTGAGACACAGTTCCCAGTTAAAACAAAGTGTTCTGTGGTCGAGGTAGGACTACCACTTTAAAGCCATACCAGAGATTCCCAACTAGTCTTCTTACCTCTGTAATAAAATCACATGGTTAACTGCATCAAATGCCATGCTAAGGTCCAGCAGTGCTAAGACCAAGACTGTCCCTGCGTCAGGCAGAAATTATTTTTCACCTTGATCAGAGCTGTCTCAGTGTTGTGATAGGACCCAAAGAATAAGAATAAAAAACACTGCTACGCAGGAGAAAGAAGAATGTAGGGTTTGATATGGGGCATTAGTTTTTCAGTGCTGTGGCATCCAGACACTTCTTCTTTAGAAGAAGCTTAATGACAGACGTTTTTAAGGCCTTTGGAAATGTTCCAGTCTGAAACCTTGACTAGATGAGTGAGTTGTGATAACAAACTGCTCAGCACAGACTTTAGGAATGTAGTGGGTTATTTGTACAGGCAACGTATTGATGGACTCAGGCTGCAGATGATCTCTTTAATTGTTTTGTTAGTGACAGGTGTAAACTTGGGGCAGAGTAGTTATTGGCGTAGTGGAAATTATTGCATTTTTAATGCCTTGAACTTTGTCATTAAAGATTATTGCAAACTCCTGACATTTGGATAAAGAAACAAGTTCTAACAGCAGTAAGACTGGGGGGTTTGTTAAGTCTGCTCACTATGGCAAACAGGACACAAAAGTTGTTTCCAGAGTTTTTGATGATTTCCTAAAAATAACGCTCGCTTATTCTACCCAAAGTCTGGTTGAACACACACAGCTTTTCTTTGTAGATTTCAAAATTAACTATAGTCTATTGTGATACCTGGGTACATAGATGCGAGTGAATGGAATCACCTGAAATATTTAGAGCCGCGGGGTGGTTTCCTGGTCTCGTAGAGCTGCCCATTGACAAATAATTCATCCACCGCAATGACAGCACAGGAGCCTAATTCCATGAATCGTTTCTGAATAGGTAACAGAACCCTGCATCTATCCAGGGTTTCTTTTGTTGTTGACACTGAAGTTGGTTCCTCACATGGCTCCTTACCAAAACCTTCTGTTTTTGATGCTCAAACTTGGCCATGATGGGTCTAGGTCTGCAGGCATCAGGTCTCTTCCATCCCAGGCGGGCTACCCGGTGGAAGTTGTGGTAAGCTTAAATTGCGATTGGATAAAGTTTCTCTGGGTCCTCATCTGTATAATCCAGGATCCAAGAGAACACAAGGTTTTCACTTATAATTCAAGCCTGGAGTACGATGTTGATTATTTGTTTTTTCTTTAAAAATTTGGCTCAGTCCCTCAGTGAGGGGATTACACTGTGGCCAGCATCTGCACCTGTTGCTGGCTGAATTCAAAAGACTCATGTAGTGTCTGAAATTCTTTACGTGGAATCTCTAAGAGGGACAAATGTGCATAGAAGCTGGACAATTTGTTGTCTGTTGATACCAACATGTAGATTTTTTCCAGTGGGAGATTCACACCATGTGAATCTTCATTGCAACTCCACTTAGAGGTAATGGTTGATTCACCTGCAGATGATGATTGGCTAGTTTTCCCCATGATGACCCAGTCCACTCATCAACATAAGCCTTCCAGCTGCTCAGGCTTTCTTAAGTGACCTCTGGTGTTTTCACTTGTTTATTTTTCCAGGAATATATATTTACACTACAATAGTCAAAGTTATAATCTTACTGAATTGTTTGTCTAGAAGCGCGTTATGTCTTTTGATTTTGCCAACAATCTCACATAGACTTGCGACACAAGCACAGCATCTCACACTTTACCTTCTTTTTGCAGTCTTTTAAAATCAAAGGTTTTCCACGGTTGTTTAAGTATCTAATGCCTATTACTATGAAGCTGCCAGGGTTTATTCCTCTGCAAGTGTGTCACTTTGTGGAAATTTATAAGAGATTAGAGATTAGAGAAAGATTGGTGGTGAACCATTGGCTCAAATTTAGGATTAAACTTTTTCTTCTTGGTAATTAACCAGCCAGCCTTGGCTGCTCGTGACTGAGGGGAGAACTAATGGGTTTAAGTAAACTAAGTGATTCTGCTATGGCTATAGGGACCTGGTTAGCTACCGCTCTTACAATGCAGAGCCTCCCCTTCAGAACTACATAAAAACATTTGTTTCAGCTACCGTTATCGCCAACTAAGGAAGAGGAGTAACTATTCATCTGACTTGCAGAGCAGGTGAAAGTAGAATGTGAAGGAAGAGAGCTGGTAGCCATACTAAGCTATACAGGTAAACACACGAAAGAGGAAAAACGAGTCGAAACACCAAATAGAATTAGAAAAGAGGTCTTCACAGAGCAAGTCTGGAATTAATCCAACAATGTAAAGATGGGATCAGTGATGTTCTTTAGTCAGAGCACTGTTAAAAGTTCCACAGAAGAGAGTTGCTGCTACACAGAGTAACAGAAAAGTGTTACAGTACATCTCACCACAAATGCCAGCCACAATAATTTATTGCAAATAAATCAACTACATGTATGTAGTTACAGGAAAATAAAGCAGAAGTGATTAAGTGACTAGAAGACAATAAGAAGAGAATTTGTGTGTATCTGGGGTGAAGAACAAGATACGTGCCTCCTAATTTATTGTGTGATACTTCATAAGATAAGATAATAATAATAATAATAATAATAATAATAATAATAATAATAATAATAATAATAATAATAATAATAATTATTATTATTATTATTATCATTATCATTATCATTATCATTATCATTATTATTATTATTATTATTATTATTATAATGAAGCTGATAGAAATTGTTTTGACATTGCAAACATTCTTCTGCTGGTTCTTGTTATTTTTATATGTATTTTTTTCTCAGTTGCTTGCTTTGTCTCCATTATATTCCTGCTTCCTTTCGTTTTCTTTTCTAATATTTATTCACACTTTTTCTCCTTCCTTCTTTCTGTATCCTTTTCTTTATTCCAATCCCTTTTTTTCAGCCCATTTTTTATTTAATGTTGTAGCAGAGTGAATATGCAAGCATATGCTTGTCACACATCAAGGAATGTTTAATTGGTGAATTGCTTATGAAGACTGAAAAATAAGGAAAGCATAAGATAAAAGGAAGATGAAGAGAAAGAGAATTAGAAATAGAGGAAAGGTAATTCAGGGGACAAGAGAGAAAATTATTTTGCAGTGAAGTAGCAGAGAGTGAGAAAACATTGCATGGCTGCCTCAGAGATCGATTGCTTTGTTGAGCTACTGACAGGTGTAATTGTTAGGGCGTCATCTGTTCTTGTTTACACAAACCACATTTTTTCCTTTTCTTTTTTTTTCCTTTTTTTCTTAAAAGTCATGGTTGTAAAGATGTGATGCACAGCATCACACTCACCGTCTAATCTTCCCACCAACATCCTATTCTTGTGCTTGCCATCAGACAAATCCCCTGTTATTTGAACAGATGGTTTGAAATCCATTCTGCTGATAAGTTGCCT